CTTTCCCTGTCTGCTTGGCTTCTGTGAGTGAGATTTCATGAAATGAGGCTGAGCTGGCAGATTCCACCAGAAAGGACTCCTCTCAGAAGAATAATTTTTTGCCTCACTGACCTCATACGTGCCAAGTGTAGGACTTCAGACATAGGCTCTTAGTCAAATTGCAATTATTCTATGAGTCATTGAAACAAATTTGCAGGAAGCCATGCATTCTGGCAGAAAGTCTGAACTTTCCCTCCTAAATCCCGAATTTGTGACGTTTCAGAAAACTTTGCAGTACAATCAAAATGGGGCTTAATTGCCTCATAACACCAAAATACTCTTGCTTTCCTAAAACCACCCATACCACTTTCCAGTCTTCTCAGGATCCTGGTGACAGACCAGAGCTTCACAGCAGGGGGAGGTGCAAGGCAGGCAGAGGAGGACACTGCTCTGGTGCTCTCAGTCATCTGCAATGTGGCTGGTCCTGATGCAGCTGCAGCAATGGCAACTACCAAGCAAGCATCTTCAGCTGTGGGTGTGCCACTTTGGTACTACAAGGTGTCTGATGTACTTTCAGGCTGTTCTGAGCTGAAATTCCCATAAAAATAACTCAATGGAATCTAGCCCTTGCTCTTGAATAGATGTCAGCCACAGACACCTCTGGCTGTCACTGTACTGAGTATATCCCCCAGCGCATTCTGTTCCATTTATTTTCAAGTGTTTTGGTCCTTGATTTGAATATTCAGCTTTTCAGCAGGCATCATCAGCATGTCTTGCTCTCCTTTACATTCCTAGGGATAGCAACATTTTGTGGTTCCTAATAGAAGAACCTGTTTGAGAAAGCCCTGAGGTGATTTCCAGATGGAATAGGTTCTGCTTTTATCTTGGTACAAAGTTCATCCATAACTTTTAAAATGAGAATTCCCTTGTCCCTGGCTCAAACTTAGAAGGAATTGAACTGCAGAACGGACAATATATTTTCACTGTTTTGCACTTGGTGCTGGGACTTTTTCACAGAAGTTTCCAGGTCAACATCAGAACCCCTATTTGCTCATGATTAATAGAAAAGAACAGATATAGGGTGTCTCGTCTGACTAAACCATCTGTGACACTATGTCTTTTTATAGTTCACAGACAGATGATGCAGAATGTACCTTGTGTGTGGTAAGTGAGTGGGCTTCACTGGCATGCAGGGAGAGCAACCCTGAAAGTTGCAAGTGGCTTTAAATGTCATTTTGAACAAGCTTTCATTGCTTCTTACAAAACAGGTGGGTTGGTCCTCTTCCTTTCAGGCAACCACGTAGAGACAACGTCCTATAGAATGGAGCTACAAATCAAATACACTCACTGGTTTCCTTCAGTAACATCTTGTGAATCTCTCTTCAGGGACTTTTGGAGATGATGAACAAGACAATTTTGACATTGATTGCTTCAGCCAGCTGGAATTTAAGGATTCCTATAGCAGCCTGACCTGCAACTTTACAGAGCTGCCACCTCACAACACTAACTATACCCTGGCCCTGTGGTAAGAGCCGTCAGTCCATCCTTTCGTAAACTTCTGGGAAATGAAATGCTAAGCACCAGGGAGTCATGCTGACATATGCTGGGAAATAGGAGCAGAAAAGTTAGACAAAATTCTGTTTCAGAGTGTTTTACCAAGTTTAACTACTATATTCATCAAAGAAGAAGAGTTCACTGAAATAGAATATAACTCCCTAATAAAAAAAAATCAGTTGGAAGTATCTCTAAAGGGTGTTGTAATGTCTCCAATAGTCCTGATTGTGGCTCTCTTGCTCTGGAACACCTTTTCTTAGTAGTGTAGCCCAGCATGAAATTAAAGCATTTTTCCTTTAAATTAAATAATATAAAATAAATTTAAAAAAAAAAAAGACAATCCCTGTCCTTTATCAATTGAAAAGTAAAAATGTTTTTGAAGAGGCAGATCCTTTCCACAGAAAATTCTTTGGCAAGAAGGTTGACTTCTATTGAAGGGAAAAATCCTTCGTCTAGGTCAAAACAAAAATTAAGGAATTATCTTTGCATACACAGAAATGCAAAAAACTCATTAGAATGAGTATACAAAAACACAACAGTTACCAGACACATCAGTCATCTCCACTTCTCATCAAGGCCTTGAAACTCTTTTCCACCTTGTTTTTAGTTGACACATCTAACTGAAGAAGCTCAGATTTTGTTTCTTTAGCCTACTGCTGCTTTTCCTTTTGCCTGTTTTTCATGAAACAGAAAGTTGTGCTGCAGCCAGCAAAAGAAGCGGATTTTTTTTCTTTTGCAGCTTTATATTCTAATAGCTACTTTTTTTTTTTCAATCCAGTTAATTAGAATTCTTCTGTTTTCATAGGGTTTATTCTGGATTTTGATGGAAATTTTATGACAGTCCTCAAACACAGGAGTCACACAAACGGACAAACACACAGATACATTTCCACCTCTGAAACTGTGCCATATGACTCCTTCATGGCCTGGCTGATTGTTGACCCTGTATTTGCTATCACTTCAGTGAATAAGAAATTTCTCTTTACCTTCACTGACCATCCAAACCTATTGCTCTATATTTAAAAATGGCAGCAGTAAGATCATTTTTAAAGATGCAATGGTTTTTAACACATACATGTCCCATTTAATGATTACTTATTTTTTCTTGGAGGTGCCCAGGGCTGTTACTGTGACTCACGTCACTTTATTATTGTGCTTGAAGGCCCCGAAGTAAATATCAATATTTTAAACTCTTTGTGTGCATGGCATTTTTTCTTATTTCACATGAAGTGTCAGTTCAGTTAATGTGAATTGAGCAACCAGGATTCATACCTTCCTATGTTATAGTAAGACTGAGAAGAAACTAATACTGTGTCCCTTTGGTCAACAGTACCAAGGAAGACAGCAATTACGTGTGCTTTGATATGGAGAAACAGGAAGATGTGTATTTTTTACAATTCAGTGATATACTCTCAAATAAGGATATTTGCATGTTCTCTAAGATGAAGAGGAGGGTCTGCAAGAGTCTGATTGTAACTGACATTGGTAAGACACTTAACATTTTGGACATTTTTTGGACATTTTTCTTTTACTGGGGAAATAACAGCCCAGTGCAAAGCCTGAGCACTAATCTGGATGACATAGAGGCAATATAAAATATTGTCCTGACAGGGCATGGAGCCTGGATTGGGGTGTTGGCAGAGTGTGATGTTCCCGTGCTTTAAAACCAAACATGATTAATCTCCATTCAAAATGTGCAGCTAAATTATTTCTTATTGTAACACTGCCCAGACCTGGGCATAGACCAAATCATGCATATGGGCGAAGCAGTTGCTCCTGAGCTTGGATGAACTGTCAAGCAGGGACATTTTGTTCATTTCTTGGGGGCTTGTGCACTTTCAGGACTGACCACCTCAAGTCTATCATGAGCTTGATAGCACAGGGACCCCAAGGTTCCCAGATCTCACTTTTCACACCTTGCTTCTTGGTGGAGCCTGTTGTCTAATGAGGTGCTCAAACATCCTGCAGTGCAGAAGGGACACCAAGAGCCCATGAGCATCAAAGAGCTGAGAAACAGGGAATTCAGGGGAAGAGGGGATCCTTAGGACTTATCCCTCTTGGAAGCTGGTCTCATTGGAGGGCTGCAGAGAAGCCCATGTAGGGTAGCTCTATTCTGCTCTGGTGCCACATTGCTTTGCCTTCTTTTGGCAATAGGCACTGCAATATCCTTCTCGAAACATTTCTGCCCTAGTCAAATAGGTTTGTAATAGTCTTACACTACGGACAGTTTATGGGCCAGCCTGAGCCATCTCTTGTGAACTGTCCTTTAGAAATGGCTGGTACTCATGGAAGGATTAAATATTTGGGGGGTATAGAAGGAGTGGGCATTATTTCTGGTTATATGCATTTTCCTGAAAGGAGAGAGATGCGGGCTCTCTATTCCTGTGGGTGCAGATGTACTTTACAAGGCGTATTGAGCAAGCCTCAGCAGCACAGACACAGGCCTCTGCAGACCTCTGGCATGTCCAGCTCAGGCACAGCTTGAGGGGAGTCCCCAGATATGCCTTGTGGACTTGATGTACTTGCACGGACAGTCATTTGGTACCCTCCTCCTGCAGACAAGGCCAGGTGTGGGTACCCAGCAAGGGCCTGAAGCCACAGCCCCTCTGCTACATCTAACACTGTCGTACTTCATCCCTTTCAGAACATTCAGGTCTGGGGACCCCAACGTAAGAAGGATGTGGACCTGTTGGAGTGAGTCCAGATGAGGGCCACAAAGATGGTCAGAGGGCTGGAGCATGTCCTGTACAAGGACAGGCTGAGAGAGTTGGGGTTGTTCAGCCTGGAGAAGAGAAGGCCCCAGGGAGACCTTATAGCAGCCTTCCAGTACCTAAAGGGGGCTACAGGAGAGATGGGGAGGGATTCTTCATCAGGGAGTGAAGTGGTAGGACAAGGGGTTACAGCTTCAAGCTGAAAGAGGGTGGATTTAGATTAGATATTAGGAAGAAATTTTTTACTGTGAGGGTGGTGAGGCACTGGAAGAGGTTACCCAGGGAAGCTGTTGATGTCCCATCCCTCCAGGTGTTCAAGGCCAGGCTGGATGAGGCTTTGAGAAACCTGGTCTAGTGGGAGGTGTCCCTGCCCATGGCAGGAGGGGCTGGAACCGGATGATCTCTAAGGTCGCTTCAAAACCTAACCATTCTATGATTCCTCTGCCCTACTGCCCTGCTGGCCACTGGCAGTTGCGTCCATACTCTGTTTGTTCTTTCTTCCAGAGCAGTGACAGGTTTTGCCATGGGGATGGAGACTCGGAGCACTGGCTGAAGAAACTGAATTTCAGGTCTTCAATAGGTGCTAGTGCAGGGGTGGGCATGGTCAGGAATTGCTTTCCAAGACTAAATGTCAGATTCCTAGGAGGTGCCATCCGTGCTGGTCACACTGCTGCTCCAGCAGGTCAACACCAAACCCTTCTCATGACAGGGTGTAAGGATGACCCGGGGCTCAACATGAGGCTCACACAGCTCAGGCCAGCCCTTGCTCAAGACAGGTCAACCCACAGGGGTTGTAACTTGAAATGGACTTTTAAAATTGTTTTTCAAATCCTGCTTATTTTGTAGTAACATTGTTCTACTCCTGTTATATCCTGGTTTGTTATAATTTGCAGTTAAGCCTGAAGTACCCTTTGATATAAACATCACATACCAAAAGGAGGCAAATGAATATCTTATTCATTATAGTACCCCCCACTCATGGAAGAAATACTTAAAGGACAAATTAATACACCAAATAGCCTATCGGCAGGAAGAGGGCACTTGGAAGGTAAGTGGTGATGTATTGGTGAGCTTACACTACTTTCCGAAATTAAATGTTATCAGAAATACCAATGTCACATAAAACCCCACAAATCTGTATTTCTACAGTTCTCCAAATGAAAACTTGGAAAGGTGCAGTATTTGGCATTCAGAAATTTCATAATTCAAAACAATTCCAGCCCAAGAGCACCCCTGTCTGTTAGACACTTCTCTGGGCTAACAAAGTTTCTTTTATTTGGGTTTTGCGGTGGGAAGAGAAGACTGAGTGTTACTAGAGAAGCAGAAGGACCCTAAGTGGCTTGCTCCTTGCTATGGTGGTTTTGCTCTTATTTTCTGTGCTCATCAGTCAGTAAATTGTATGACTCCTTTTTTTTTAATTAGCAACAGTTTCTTCATGTCCCCTTTTCACTGAGCCTTTCCAGGCTTCTGTGCAGCCTTGCAGCTCTCTTACCCTCTGACCATGTTCCAGGCTGCAGCTGCCTATGAACTGTGTCTGCTCTGGGCTGCCCAGCTGCTGGGACCTCTGTGTCTCCTGTCACAAGCAGCCATGCAAACACTAGTCCACTTGGGGGGTGTTTGAAAGCATGGACTATACCTGGTTTTTACAGAGGGTACACAGGAGAACCGTAACTAGGAAAACAAAATGATTCAGGAAATCAAATACATTGAAATAAAGAGCACCAGAGCTGCACTCTGGGATCTCAGCTTCTTTCCTGTAACTGCTTTTTCAGAAGTTGTCTTTTTATGCCAGACAAATGTATTCCCCTCTTCCCCCCCTTCTGAGCCTTGCCAGGGAGGCATATATTTCCCACTGTAGTGTCAGCAAGTAGCAAAGCACAGTTAATACTTCCAGCTGTTTCCCAATGATCTTTTACTCAGAGTCAGTTTCTCTTCTCTATGCTGTTTGGACCACTAGCTGTTAAACTAGACTGACGCTCTGATGACCACCTTTACAATTAGCAAAGAGAAGGAACAAACAGCACAATACTGCAGCAACGCACTTGATCTGATGCATTTTGCTGAAACTGAAAGATCCTTTTCCTATGTTTCTTAGAAAAATAATTGGATCTTTTTTTATGTGTTTAGACAATAAAGTCACCATATCTTCAGGTAAAACTGCTGGGGAAAAACCTCGAACATGATGCATCGTATGAGGTCAAAGTACGTTCACAGCCCAATGGAGACTATTTTAACGGCACATGGAGTGAATGGAGTGCTTCCAAGAGCTTCAGGACCACAAAAGAGCAGCACTCCACGGGGAGCTGTAAGGGCAGAAACCACTTTGGTCCACATGTCAGAATGCAGAGCTAGGGGCCCCTGGCTCCCTGGCCAGCCCCAGAAGCAGTGGTGATGAGAGCATGGGGAGGGAAGAGCACATGGCCGCAGCATGGTCAGCCCTCATGGGCACCAGGCACCCCAGAGGAGGTGACCCAGAAAGTGGCTGTGTCAGTCTGATCTGGGGCTGATTCTCCCCGTGAAGTTAAATCTCACTCAGGGGAGATAAGATCGGATGAAATGCTGCTGTAAGGGCATGAGGGGGGTGCAAAGGGAGGTGAAGGCTGTCTCACTCCTTGCTGCCTGCTGATGTGCAGGGAGAAGCACCAGCTTGCACTGAACATTTCAGGTAGGGCACAAAGAGCTGTGAAACAGGACCCATTTCAGGGCCCTGGATTTATATGTGGACATGGCACTTTAATCACAAATGCCATATGGGATACAATCTCATCATTGCATTTGTAACCATGAACAATCCTTGTGGTCCTTGGGGTCCCTTCAGTCCCCAGGGGCACCTCAGCATTATGTGTGTTGGAAGTCACTCCAGTGCTGCAGTAAAAATGCAACAAGTTGTAGCTTCAACACACTGGAGGTTACAGCAGAATTTGAACTGCTTTAATCCAACCTGAGAACCCAGCTTGGAGCTCAGCCAAATGCTGATGCTCTGGCAGCCTGCGTCTTTCCTCTTTCAGGGAGGCAGGTGAAAGGAACCACTGCACCAGTCCAGTGATAGGCAAGTGCAATGCTTGGCATTAATTCCTAATTTATTGTCTGAAGAGACATTACTGTTACAGTGCCTTAACAGTGAGGCATTTACATGCATTGGCTCATGTTCTTTCTTTTTCTTTAGCTAGTAGTGTGGTCTTGGTTATACTCTCCATCTTGGGATTCGTGCTGTCTGTTGTCATGATTGTCCTGATTGGAACTTTTTGGGAAAACAGGTAATGTGTGAAGAGACCTTCATATCAGAAAAAGTGTTGGAAGCCAATCCTGTTCTAACAAGATTGACAGTCTTATTGCTTTCCCTGTTATACTTATGAACTATTCTCTTTCCATATCGGGTCCTCTGTATGAAGCCAAAGGCAGTCTAAGAGTAGAAGTGAGCAATACAAGAGAGGGGGTTGGCAGGTGGAAGATGACCTGCCACTTTAAGCAAGCTTCAGTCTTGGGCTCCAAACACTGGGACCTTTGGGGAGCTGAAGTCACCAGGAAACACAAAGTCAGTGTCACTGTGGAGGCAAATTTTACTCAAAAGCTTCAAGCAAGATCCAGAAAAGAAAGAAAACTGTGGGTTTTAGTAAAGTTCCAAGAGGTGTGGAAATGATATAGGGGGGGAGATTGCCCCTTTCCCTTTCATAGGCTGAGTCAGCAAGGTGTTTGCTCTGCAGTGCTTTTGGAAGCAGCAAGACAGAGCTCTCTGCAACAAGGGCTTGATAGCATGAGCCACCAGACCAGGTGGGTCCACATCCAGCTGTGTGGCAAAGCCAGGCTCTACATCCAAAGCGGTCATGGCAGAGGTGGGACTGGAGATACAGTCACTACACAGACAGGCCTTTATCTGCATTGTTTTTTCCTTATATATTGGCTACACAGCAGTAGGCCAGATAACTGTAAATATATTTTTAAATACATGGCTATGTATGCTTATACAGAATAGATAGTTGGTTGACAAGTTTAAGAAAATGAACAGAAATGTAGGTAGTCTGGCAAAAACCTGCATGTGAAGTGAAAAAGTACTAAGTTTAACCATAGGAGACGAACCTGTTGCAAGGCAGAAAGCCCAGGGTTATTCGGTGGCATTCCGAGCAGCCCATCCATGATGTCCAGCTCCACTAATGTCCAGAGAGATGGCTGCATGTGAGCTGCTTTTTGGGGACAATATTTGGGCTGTGCCAACTCCTGAGTTACAGACAAGGATCGCCTGGGAATGTACTAGTTGAGCCCAGTGAAAACATGCCAAGAACAATTTTAATAATTAAACATTTTAGACACTTGAGTCTTCTGCCAGGGAATGCCCCCTAGTGTTGTTTTATTTGCAAGTGTACATGTGGCTTGAGATTTCTAGCTCTTGCTTTTTACTATTGCTGAGCACCTGCAGTTCTCTAACTTTACTAGAAGTTCTGTGTACATAAAACTGCTGAAAAAACAGGCTTTTAGATGGTAAAACTTTTCAACCCCAGAGGTTTCCCTTTAAAAAAAAAAAAAAAAAAAAAAAAAAGAGGGTTTTATACGTGTGTGCATATGTACCCATATATACAGATACAGGAAATGAAACATAGACTCATATACATCTATAGCTCTATTTGTATCACTGCAACATCCAATGTCAGTTGGGCAATATTCTCTAGATGCATCATAGCTGATGGTTTTCAGCAGCACAACACAAGAACTTTGCTAATTAAGGCAGTAAAATGAGACTTGTGGGACAAAGCTACAATTCAGATATCTGAAGCACAGATAGCTGGCCAAGAAGTGCGACAATATGCAGTTCTTTGACTAATATAACGATGCAGAGGCAAATATCAGCAAACTTGCACTTTAACCACAGCATCTTTTTTCACTTGCAGAAATGGTTTTCCTCATGCAAAATGCAGTTAACACAACTAGATGCAAATGAGATCTTTGCCAGGACAATTTGCTGCTTTTCTAGTACTTAGTGAAGTCTTCCTTTAACAGTGACAATTTGTGCACTCAAAAGAACAATGACTATTCGGTGACTTTTCCAACTCCTCTTCTCCTCCTGTCTTTGTTTTATTCTGAGACTTCTCTGTGTTATTCTGGGTAGTGCAAGCCAGCCCTAAGGCTTTGTGAGATTAGTACAAATGATGCAATACAAACCCCTCATATCTCAGCATGTCCCTCTTTGGCTGTTGTTGAACCCCTTTTTCTCTACTGTTGTTGTTTCAGAATCAAGCCTGCTGTGTGGCCAAACCTGCCTGACCATAAAAAAACGCTGGAGCAACTGTGCAAGAAGCCAAAAAATGTATGTACTTCTGCTGTCACTTTCACCTAAGCATAGACTATTGGGACCAAAACTAACACTCATGACAGACAGTATGTGCTGCATGAACTGGGACATCTTTCAGAAATGACTTCTACATTTCACTGAAGAGAGCCCACATTTGCACAGGCAGATGCTAGTCAAGGGTATGGAAATAACAGACAATTCAACTCGTGACTGAGCTTTGACTTGTGCAAAGTAACTACAGAGGGCTGGAGAACTTGATATATGAAGAAAGGTTGAAGGAATTGAGTTTGTTTATAGAAAAGAGGAAGCTCGGGGACAGGAGTACTAATCAGAACCTTCCAATACCTAAACTGTAGCTAGAGGGAAGGTGGAAGTCCTCTCTTCACAAGGCTGCGTGATGACAGGACCAAAGGCAACAGGCACGTGTTGTTTCAGGGTGAACTTCATCTGGGTATAAGAAAAAAAGTCTTTTTCTGTGAGAGCAATTAAACATTGAATAGGTTTCCCAGAGAAAAGGCAGATTCTCCCTTGATGGAAATGTTCAAGGCTTGGCTTAATAGGGCCCTGGATAACCCAACTGAGGTCCTGCTTCTGGCAGAAGTTTGGACCACTTGGACTCCAGAGGTCCTTTCCAACCAAGACACTTTGGTGATTCTATGAAGCAGTGCTCATGGGGCTGGATGGGGCCCTTTGCAAACGCCTCTGGTGGTGCCCAGGTAGCCTTACACATCCAGCAGAATTGCTCATACATGGTACAGCACATGAGCTGCTCTGACAGATAAAGACAGGTGGACAAATATTATAAACTGTAAGGTGTAGGATTAATACATTGCCTTAATACTCTATGTCTGGTGCATTTTTTCACTAGGAAAGCATTGCTCTGTCCAGTTGGTACATTATTAGCATGTTCTTAATTCACTAAGAGGTCTAAGACAACTCTCCTACAACCCAAGCTTGTCCAGTGCAGGTATTCCTAATATGTTTCAGGAAGTTGTGGCAAAATGTTACTTCTCTCTCTGATAAATTAGGAAGGTAAAACTGAAAGGAACTGCCTAGGTCGGCACTCTCATTCCTGTGAAATGACAGGTGTGCAATAAATGTGTGGCTCAGAAAAATCTCTGAAACACCAGTTCACCATTGTGTAGAGCGTACAAAGCTCTCCAAGGGTCTTGCCTGCAGGAACCACAGGAGGATTCAGATTAATATGGAAAAGGATTTTAAGCCATGTGATAGCTTATTCTCCACTAACCTATTGTTCAGCCTCCTCAGGATTACTTTCAGTGTTAAAGAAATAATAAATATACTTTAAAAATCAAATTAATTTTCAGCTAACCTTTTGTGTTAAGCTAATACCCACTGTTAACCGACCGTGCTGTTCCCTTTGCCATGCAGAATTTTGATATAAGCTTTAACCCAGAGAGTTTTGGTTATGTTCATATCCATAAAGTGGATGGCATTCGAGCAAAAGCTGAACTGGAAAATTTTCTGCGTCCGTCAACTGCTCCAGAGACAAACCTTCCAGAAAAATTTAGGACTGGGTCAGACCTAAAGATCCCTGTGATGACAGACAAAAGGAACCTAAACCTGTCTGTGACTTATGGAGGAATCTGGCCAGCTGAAGCCCTGCACAGACTCCTGGGCACCAGCCAGTTTGCAGTCACCGAAGCAAACTGCGACTCCAGCACGTACAAGTTGTGCCACAGCAATGGCATGCCTCTGTGCAATGATGGTTTCAACCTCTCCTTCACTCCTACCCAAGATCCCTCTGGCCAGCCTGGACCAGAACCACTAAATGGTGACACCATACCCCAGATGCCACCTACCAGTGAAATGAGGTCACCAAACAACGAGGAAGCCTATGTCACAATGTCTAGCTTCTACAGAAATCAGTAAGCCTCACAGTAATGACAGCATACAGTTTTTTCTCTAACACAAGCAGGACCTGACACTTTCTGTTTTGTTTTCCTGCATCCTGTGACAGTGGGTTCCCACCTCCACAACACACCCTGCTCACAGTGCAGCGCTTTACCTGCAAGGAAGTGGGCTCTCCCACGTTTCAGTGATAAGTGGCCTAACCTCCGCTCTCAGTATGCCAGTAGCAATCTCCACTGCAGCAGAAATTAAATTTAATTCGACCTGACTTGAATCTTCAGATCTGATTAATCCAGAGCAATGACACTGCACTCACAGCTGAGGATCACAGCATGTCTTATTGAAGTTAATGAACTCTTCTGTTAACCTCTTGGTTGCAGAGTTAAGCCCTTATTAATGCCTCAGCAAGAAATATGGCAACAAATTCAAGTTAAGTAGAATCCAATATCTTTTAAACACCAGTAGGTCAAAAGTAACTCCTCTGCAGTCAGTAGAAATCCATGAGATTGCAAAACACCAATAAATGAGAGGTGTTATCAAGCATTAGTTACCTGGGGATTCAGGCTTGGTCACTGCAAAGGGAGTTTGCTGAGCCCCCAGGAAAAAAGGCACATGGACTCACTTTAGGAAGATGTTTTCTCAGACTGATTTTTTTTTTTTTTTTGAGAGAGAGAGAGATTAAAACAAAGCAAAGCGTTACATGCCACTACTTTTTGCTCTTGGTTAAGATCTGCCCCGGAGACAATTTCAGGATCCACAGGTACTTATGTTAGCACTATATATTAATTATCTTCAGTGTTTCATGTACGAGCAATGTTTAGCTAAGAAAACAAAACAAAATCAATTAAAAGCAAAGTCACATATCTTCCTATAAACTGAACTGGGCCTGTAAAATATATGATGCTGTCTTTCTCTGCAGCTCTTGTACAAACATCAGTGCAGCATGCAAGTACTTTCCACGGCAGAAGGGCTGAGCAGGCAATATTTGTTTACTAGCATTATTCCCAATAGCTGTAACTGCATGAGAATACTTTTAATTTGGCCAGGTAAATTTCTTATGCAATGTCTGACCTAGGAAGACAAATGGAGTATCATGGATCCCGCCAGTGACCAGAACATCTAAATTTTTTTTTAAACTGTAAGCGCCTGGAGACAACATTTATTTTTTTTCTATATTATGACCGAGGAAGGCATCCTGTCCCTCCCATTCACCTTTCACTGGACTCTGTGCCCAGCTCTAAGGGGTTCCCCACATGCAGAGATGGGTGAGCCGCTTCACAGTCCCTCCGGGATGCTGCACTTTGCAGAGCAACATGCTTGGACAGAAAGCTGCTACAACAACATGGTTGCATGACAGCCAAGCAGTGTGGCCATGGGAAATCCAAGCTGCTTTGCTGCTGTCTGGGATTGGGGCTCATCTCATTGTGCAGTCTCAGTTCCTCTGGCTGCTTGAAATCCTCCTTTATCAAAACATATTCACATTCCCAGAGTCTAAGGGTGAAAAGAGTCCTCTCTCATCCTCAGAGCTGCTTGAATTTGACTGGCAATAATCACTGAGATGTCACTATGTTTGATGCAGCCTGCTAAGCAAAAGCAGCGGTCCCAAGACAGCACTCCACCTTCTCCAGCTCCCACTGAAAGCAGGAGAACCCTCAAATGGGGATGACCTTATGGTCCCTGTGTGCAAAGGGGCCAAGGATTTGGTTCAAGGTGTTCCAGTGATATTTTACAGAATGGTTTTTATTTCTGTTTCTCACCAAATGAAACATTGATTAATGCAAGAGAAAAAGATGAAAGCCCTGGACATTCATTTGCTTTGTAATGCTTGTATTTCGTTTTGAAAAGAGCTGCTGGTAATGCTCACACTGTGCTGACCTGCACAGTGCAATCGTAGATGCAGACAAACTATGCTGGAAAGATACCCTTTTCCAGTGACAAACAAAAAGGGGATAGAGGAAGAAGCAAAAGTGCATCAGAAAAATCCTGTACAGTATGTGCTATGCTTGTTTTGAACTCATACACACATTTTTAAGGATTAAAAGGGACACTATTTAAACAGTAAAGTGTTCATGTGTAATAATGTTTCTCTTTGTCCAGAAAGGTATACTGTTCTTAAATATAGGAAAAGTAGTAGAAACCTGATGTTTATTTACTTTAATCACTCTGAAATAGTTACATTTTTCCTATGTAGTACTCATTTTTGCATAGCTGCTAATGTTTAAACATTAATTCTGTTTTCTGTGACTTATTTAATTAGACAACATGTAATCTTAGTTTTATAAAGTTTTTACTATATTAAAATGACATGGCTATTTGCATGACCTATTTGTGCTGCTCTAATTCAGTTTTCTAATGTACATCTATCAGGAATAGGGCTTACGCTGCCCTGGCTGAAATTAAGATGACTCCAGGGGCTCTACCTAGCTTCAGGCAGTTTAAATCCCAAATAATTCTGGACAGCTCAGAGGCCTGAAAGCACTGTAGGACACCAGCAAGCATCACCCTCTCTTCATCGCTGCCACCACCCTGCAAGCCAGGGAAGCCTCTCTGCAGCTCCAGTCACTATGTTTTGGACTGGGCATGCCTTTGTTCATCCTGACTCCAACTGCCAGCCCAGCCCTTGTTACCTAGAAAACACAGAGGTAACAGCTCTGGCAATCAGGTGGGTGAAAACAATCTCCTGCCTATGTAATCACTTAGGTGAGCCAGAAGCTCTGCCCATGTCCCTGTTTGCAGCCGTGAGTCTGCACCACAAACACCAGCACAGGCAAAAAACCTTCAGGCTTGCAGTAGCATATGTATGCCTACAGTAAGTCAAATTCCTATACAGGCTGTGTCCCCTGACATGGTACTTCATTAATACACTGACATGACAAATATGCAACTAATTGAAAACAAAGCAGCCCTTTGTTAAGCATCTTTATTGCCATGTACCTCTTCTCAGTGGAGGATATCAGCTAACTCATGCCAGATGCAGGGTTACTTTATCCCGGGTGTGCAGCTGGGCACACAGTGAAGCTTATCCAGAAGAGGGTATTTCTGGGAGAGCAGCACTGAGCCCAGGCAAATTGAGGAGGGTTAGAGGTTAGCCTCAAGGTTTCTGAAGGACTCTGGCTCCCAGAAACAGCCATGAAACCTGCTCATTGAACCACATCCAACTACTGCCAAGCCAATGACATCAATTTGGTCATTACAGTGGTGTTCAGTCAAGTCTTGTCAGGCTGAACTTTCACAAGCACTAAGCTCCTCCCAGGTAACTCTGGGGATTAGGTTGCTCTGCAGCATGCAGAAGCCAGCAGTATCCTTCACTCTGACAGTCTGGCCTGAACTATGGGAGCTATCCCTTTTGGAATAATTGGTCCCTGGCTATTTTGCACGTGCTGAGTACCAATATTTCAGTGGTCTTAGTTTCAGCATTCCTGAACACCATATGTAATTTTAGAGCTACAGACATAAATTCGATGGGTGTCTACAGATATAACAACTGTCAGCTTTCTTCTGGAAAAAAGAAATCCAAATATGCATCAAAGGAAGAAACACAAACACTTTTGGTCCATGGCCCACTTTTAGATGTGTAGTACATACACAAAGACACAGCCACAGCTATATCTTGACAACACTACACTGGGTCAGGACCAAGTACTTTCCTTATCCTAGGAGACTCAGTTTCCCCCATAGCTGTTTGCAAATTCCCATCTGAATAGACATCTGCACAGGGGTATAGCTGAGCTTTCAAATACTTCATGCACCTTCTTTTTTGCAGCATTCCTCCTCCATGCTTTGTGCCTCCTGTGCTCACACCCAGCTGCACACACAGAAAGAGCTTGGTGACCCTGGCTCATATGTGGCCGGCAGCTGCCAGCTCCTTTCTCTGCACATGCTCTTCAGGTTCCCACTGCCTCTTCTGCCCTAGTGGTACAACACAGCCTATCTCCCAGCTTAATTTCTCCCCCTGTCTATGTGCAGCACATTTGCACTATGCAAAAAACTCCTAGAAGAATACAAATGCTAGTCCATGAAATAAAGTAAGTTTTTTGTTAGTTATAACACTGAGTCACAGTCTAGTTTTAATGATGCTGAAAAATGTTAACAACCTCCCAAGGCGGTACTTGTCCCCTGTTGAATTTATTAGTTTGTTTACCAAATCTCCTCCTCTTGTGCATGTTCATTAGACAGGCTGATAAAACACACAAAGATGTGCTGTGTGTGTAGGTGGGGTGGTAGAAGACTGGATAAGTGTGGAGAGGCAGAGGAACTGTTTCCGCCAGGGCAAAGGAATGGTTAAATCTGTGTGATGTGCAGTAGAGTCTGGGCCATGCAACAAATGGTGAAGGGATGACCTGGCCGCTGCTGCTGCAAGGACACACATCAGAATTCAGGGTATTTTTAGGCAAGCACAAGCTGACCATGAAGCCATCCCTTCTGTCAGCAAGTGACCTGGTGATGCTGGCAGGATGTTTCTGCAGGGCAGGAGTTCAGGTCATTCTAGGCTTCTCAGCAATCGTGTTTATTGACTTGAAGACCTGTGTTTAGACAGCACTACTGCAGTGCTGCAGCCCTGGGGGAATAGCAGCAGGTTTTTGTAGTCAATATGCTTTCAGGTAGTGGTCAATTTGGTTGTGGGTTTCTGAAGCTATTCTTTAAAACAAGGTAAAATGGAGACTTACCAACTCTCTGAAGAATTATTTTAGGGTCAAACAGTTCCTTATTACTGTGATCATGAAGCCTCCCAAATTAGCACTCCTGTGTGGGACAGAACATTGGCAAAGCAAATCTAATAGACAGACACGCAAGAAAACAGCTGATGATGCTGGGAAAGGCAACTGCTAATTTATACAGACTATCCCATCCCTTTGCTCACTTGGTGGCTGTAGATTGCAGCAAGGCTGGCTATTCCTTGGCTTTTAAGTGCCACCTGTTGAAGCGTGAAGCCAGATGTCAGGGTCCAGCACTGGGATGCTTGCTGGGATTATCAAATCATGCAGCTCTTAAAACGTCCCTCAGACAGGAACTGGGGAAAA